CAGTTGTGGCCCTTGCTCTCTTTTCTTTTTCTCTTTGTCTTCATTTTTTCCTGAAGCATCGTTTTGAGCACATACCTATTCCTAATCCTTATAAAATTGTATTTAAAGTATTGAAGTTTTCTCTCAAAACTAGTCGCACTAGAAGACAGCATCGTAGTGCATTCACATACTGGGGAGAGGAGCCCAGTAGAATGGATCTTGCTAAGGAGAGGTATGGTGGTTGTTTCTCTCATGAAGAAGTGGAAAATGTAAAGACATTTCTACGTATTGCTGCTGTTTTGATCACTGTGTTCTCCTTATTTGTCCCCATTGTTCCATTATTGAAGTGCTCCTCATATTTTGTATCACAATTTAAGAACGGTTATGAAGGAGATGCTGCACTTGTCGTTTGGTTTTTAAGCAACTTCACCCCTTTGCTTGTTCTAGTCCCTTTGTTTGAACTGGTTATTCTACCTCTCTTCTCTAAATTAGAATATTTTATAACTAATCCATTAAAAGGACTTGGTTTATCTAACCTTCTCATCATATTATCAATTGTTAGTTTATTTCTCATTGACTTGATTGGAAGAACTAGTGATGATATTTCTAATATGCCTTGCTTCTTCACATGGGAAAATCAACAAGTTAATAAAACGATTCAAACTTCCTATTTAATAGTACTAATACCATCAGTATTAGCTGGCACATCATATTTTCTCACATGGATATATTCATTTGAGTTCCTGTGTAGTCAGTCTCCTTTTGGTATGCATGGAATGATCACTGGACTGTTCTGGTTTTTGCATGGTATATTCATTGACATTGGAGGAGGCATCTTATTAATAGTTTATTATAGTCCTATCTACTCAGTCTCATTTATGTCATGTACCTCATGGTTCACTATAATGCTTTGTGTAATTGCTGTCATTGGATTAGTGGTGTATGTATTAATCGCTCGATGGTATGTCAATAGGGTCAGGGATACTGATCTTGGTCTACGTGCAGCAGTAGAGGAACACTGGGAGAATAGACTGATGGCAGGAAAAGCCATGATTGACACTGAATCATCAGAAGATTTTATTATTTCTAGTTTTGATTGACATTTGTAGTTGTTACAATTTTTTTAATATCTTTTATTTTTTATAAATTTATAAAATCTCTAGTTGTTTGGTACTTTTAGCATAATTTTAAAAGAAATAGCATCTCCTGGAGTAGTGCTAGCAGCTATGCACTGTAACAATCAGGGCAATTGAGAGGAAAGAGCCAATGGACCAAATTAGGGGATTCTATTATTGCATCTGTATAACAAATTTTAATTTTTGTGAAAGTGACTCATGTGATTCTGGTTTAGCTTGCTACATTCCAGTTGTGATTTTACAGTGATGTTGTCGTATTTGTGGTTTTCTTGGCAGTGAACATAACACAACCTATTACAGATACTAATAGCTAAACATGCAATGATCTCATGTTTTATGCTCATTAGGAGGTTAATGTCATCATTGGTTATTGTCTTCTTTGTAATTCACTAAGAAGACCAATTTCAAAATATTATTGTCCAACTCTTTCTGCTTCTTCAAAATCATTCACCTTTTATATTTTTCAGAAAACCATTGCATTCCAGCATAAAACACGTAATTCATTGAATGACAGAAGGAGAGCAATAGATGACAAGAGAGCAATTAAACATGTAGAAACTGACAAGACACTTTCAATTGTACTAGTCTACTTGATCTACTATGAGGGACACTTGTATATTATTCACTCTTTATTCTCTAGAGGTGTTCTCCTTTCCTTAGTGGCTAATGCTATATTTAAAACTTTATGTAGAACCATTCTTGTTGAGAATCATCAAGTTGTTAATAGTCTACTATTACCCTATACACTCAGTCTCGTTTATGTCATGAACCTCATGGTTCACAATCATGTTTTGTATAATTACTATCATTGGATTAGTGGTGTATGTATTAATAGCTCGATGGTATGTCAATAGGGTCAGGGATACTAATCTTGGTCTACGTGCAGCAGTAGAGGAACACTGGGAGAATAGGCTGATTGCAGGAAATGCCATAAATGGCACTGAAACAGAGGATCTTATCATTTCTAGTCTTAATTGAAATTTGCTGTAGTTATGTACATTTAAAAATATCTTTTATTATTCAAAAATTTATAAAATTTGAAGCAGTTTGGTCATTTCCAGTAGCAGCTGATGCTTTTATCATAATAATCATAAGCATGTTTTTTGAAATAGCATCTCCTGGAGCATGGTAGGAGCTATGCATATGCAGCTATCTCCCTAGCTTTAGGGTGAGAAACTACCACATAACCACAGCCAAATAGCTAAGGAAATAAAATGCCCAGGTAAGTGGGTCATCATACATGTAGTTTAGAGTTCGTATAGAAGTGGAAGAAACCAGCCCTGATAAATGCAACTTTCATTTTTGGGAAGTAGACATCAAGGTGAGACCCACTATACTGGTTTATATAAAGCACAGCCTGTTTTATATCATTAAAGGAAAAAATCCTTTGGGGACCTTTTTCTGTGTTTGCATCACAGATCTTTTGGCACAATACTTTCCTGAAGCAAAGGTTTGTGGCCAGTATCTGTTGTTCTGGGATCACTTGTAAGCTATTGCTCTGTGTTATCATAAAATCATAAAATTAGTAAAAGGGTGGGGACATACTATGACTAAAACAACCGTCATGTGATTTTGATAGATCTATTCACTGCTATTAAAATAAGATGGATTCTGTCTCTCCAGAAAGAAGGAGGTTGTTACCCTCTTCTTCACTTGTTAACAATGCAAGTAAACGGAAGTACAAACCTTTCAACTGCTTCAGTAACTACTGTAAGGAATTAAAGTCTCGTTCATTGAGTTTACCATCAATCTTACTACTGATTTATGTTGTACCATTACCAGTTAGCTATTCTTTTTTT